TTAATTTGGTTACCTAATTTAGTTACCTAATTTAGTTATCACAACTACATATGGTAGTTATCATCACCAAGTCCTGTTGATTTTATTATCTTTTTAATCTATCACCTTTTCTTCATTAATGTTGCTTGTGGCTGCCACTGTCATCACCTCAGTCCAAAGGACCATCATGTCTCACTGGACTACTACAGCTTCCTATTTGGTCTGCCAACAACCACTCGGAAAACTCTTTAATTCATTTACCATAGAGCAGTAAGTTTTTTTTTTTTTTTTTTTTTTTGATAGAGTCTCACTCTGTCTCCAGGCTGGAATGCAATGGCGCAATCTTGGCTCACGGCAACCTCTGCCTCCCAGGTTCAAGCAATTCTCCTGCCTCAGTCTTGTGAGTAGCTTGGACTACAGGCACGTGACACTATGCGTGGCTAATTTTTTGAAGTTTTAGTAGAGATGGGGTTTCACCATGTTTGCCAGGCTGGTCTCAAACTCCTGACCTCAGCCTCCCAAAGTGCTGGGATTACAGGTGTGAGCCATTGTGCCAGGCCGTCATCTTTTTTAAAGAGGAAAACACCCCACCTCTACAAACATGCATGCACATGCACACAAACATGCACACACAGATTTTAGAATAAGGGCAAATCGCCTAACTTGAGTTATGAAGCTATGCATGGGCAGGTCCCTAGCTACTTCACCAGTTTCATCTAGAACCATTGTCCTCCTTATGTTCTGTGCTCCAATTACACTGACCTTTAATCAGTCTCAAACTTGCCATTCTATAATAAAGTAGGTCTCCAACTCAGAGCCTCTGAATATGTTGTTCCCTCTACTTGAGTCACTCTTCCCTTTTCTCTTTACCTAGTTAACACCTACTCTTATTTCAGCTCTCAATGACCACTTCCTTAGAGAAAACTTCCTGATGGTCAAATTACCCACCCATATGCCCTCATTGTACCATGTTATTCTCTTGTGTAATACCTATCACTGTTGCAATATTACATTTATTTGTGTGATTACTTGATTAATGTCTTGCTTTTCTACTAGACTATAAACCACATGAGGATTGGGACTGTCAGGGTTTGCTTATCACTGCAACCCCAGAATCTTGCAAAATGTCTAGCATACAGTGGGTTGTCAATAAGTATTCATTTCAATGAATGAGCTTGCAAGCCAAATTGAACTAGAGGAATAAATAAATAGTGACTAAGAAAACGTAGTGAATTTACCCAACTTCTCATGTTAATGGGGGGAGAGAAGTATTTACAGGGGTACGTTGATTAAACCCATTAAGAATGGGTTTGCTGGTTGGTTGGTTCAAAAGTTGGAGAGGTTAAAACAAGCTTAAGTGCCAATAGCAAGAATCCAGCAAAGAAGAAAAGTTAAAGATGCTCAACAAAGATGGAATAACCAACAGTATAATACTTCTGAGAAACCCAGCATCCAGGAAGCCAAAGCCTAGGTAGAAGTACTGGCCTTAGAAAAAGCAGCATCTCCATTGTAGCAGGATAAGAAGAGAAAAGGGAAAGTGTCAAAATAGGTTTATAGATCTGGTGGTAGAAAGTGAAAAGGTAGATAGTTCTAGACTAATGACTTCTATTTATCTATGATGTCAAAAGAGGGTGATCTGCTGAAAGTGAGGATCTATAGAAAGGACTCAGATTGGAGGAAAATAGTAAAACAAAAAGATTGCTCACCGGCACTGATAGTCTAGTGGAAATTAGTGGCCAAGCACTTACTTGGCAGAAGTTGCCCAATAATGAGATATTTTCCAGCTGTGCTTGGAGCCGTGCATGAAGAAGGTAATCAGTCATCAGTACTGAAGTTTGCCAGATGGACATGAAAAAGGGACAGAGGGTCAAGAAAGCTGGGGCACTGGAGAGACAGTGGAGTGACAATAGCTTCTAAGCTGGACAGACAGAAAAAAACAGAAAACAGTAAAGTACAGGAAAAAGAATACAAAGGTCTGGATGACTGGAGTTGTCAATGAAAGTTAAGAGAATTAAATGAGACAAAGCATGTAAAACATTCTGCAAAGTGGCTGGAACAGAGTTATAAGGGCTCAAGAAGTCTTATTATTATCAAGGGTTTAACACTAAAGGTTTAGATTATTCACAAGAGAACCTAAAGATAATGACATGTAGTAATTTACAGTCAGACAGATAAGAATACAGACGCAAAGTCATTTTAGCCAGCAGGTGAGCCCAGTTAACTGCCCAGTACCTAATTGTCAAATCAGCTTTGTAGTTCTCTCACATAACTCTCAATAAGGAATTTAACATAAGCTTTCAAGTTCCAATTACGCTTTAATTCATTTAATGTGGAGAAACTACAAACTATGTTGGTACTCAGGAAGGTCTTAAAACATCTTCCTCCAATGTTAAGAGACTCCTGGACTTCATTAACACAAAAGAAGAGTATGGCAACAGCAATGTACATGTGCAATAGTGATTGTGACCCAGACCTGCCTTGTAAAGCTTCTATTTTACATATCAGGTAATAACATTAATCTAAGCAAAAAGTTAAAGAAATACATGAAAAAGTACTCAATCCAATTAAATAAGATGCCACCCAGTTAGAATTGCTAAAGTGATAAGACTGACAACATCAAGTGATGGCAAGGATGCGGAGCAAAAGCCTCTCTCACACACAACTGGCAGAAGCATAACATGGTACAATCACTTTGGAAAATACGTGACAATATCTTTTAAAGCTGAAGGTGATACAGCTTATGACTCAAAAATTCTTGTTTGGTATTTCCCAACACAAATATTAATATATACATATGCATACCAAAAGGTATGTACAAAGTGTACAAAAATGTTCAAAGTAGTACTAGTCTTAATAGTCCCAAACTAGAAATAACCCAAATGTCCATAACGATAGAATGGATAAATTGTGCTATATTCATTCAATGGGATACTATATACCACAAGGATGAAGTAGTGCTACACAAAGCACAGAATAATCTCACAAACAATGTTGGCTTTAAGAAATCAAAACACAAGAGTTTATGCCATATGATTACATTTATTTAAGTTCAAAAACAGGAAAACCCCACCTTTTGCCAATGTGCTGCAGACTTTCATGAATGCACCACACACCAAAGACAGAACAAAGAGCTCCTCTTAATAACAGGGGCGCACAGTGCCCTTAGAAGGTGGTATGGCATTTATCAATGGCTGCTTCTGCCCTAACTTCTATGGTTACAGAAGTTAGAATAGTTGTTACTACTGTGGGGTTAGTGACTGAAAAGGGCATAAGGGGTACCTCTGGAGTACTGGTCATGTTCTAGTCTTGTTGGTGGGATGTGCACTTTGTAATAATTGAGTTGTACATTTATGATTTGTGCCCTCTTTTATGTATCCCATACTTCACTGGAGAGTTTACTTAGAAACAAAAGGCTAGAAATGACAAAAACAATGTAGGCAAAGGCTTTAGAAGAAGCTGAGGCTGCTGGCTCTGCAGAAGCCCCTTTTGCCTCGATGTATAGAATTGGCCACTATGCTATAGAGAGATGGAATGACCTAAATCATGTTATCTAAAATAACAAAATGAAATAATGAGACAGCAGGGATTGGAACTGAAGTATGCTAATCTCACAATGTTCTGAAATTTTTGAAGGAATGTTTCTGGATGTTTACAGAGGGGTCCTTGTCATCTAAGCACTCATTATCCTGATCCTTAAAGCAATGAGATTGTAAAGGGATGCAAAAGTAGTCATAACACAAAAATATTTACTGAAGAACAAGAGCACTTATAAAGTTGGTCCTCGCTCAAACATTCCTCCTCTGGCTCAGGCCAGCTACTGTTTCTGCCAATTCCCATCAACTGCCCTTGTCAGTCATTCTTGGTGAATTATTTCCTGTGTTATGATGTTAAACAGGACAATACAATATAACCATAATGTAAATCAATTGCAAAGTGAAACTGCACATCTTGCAAAAGATGCATGATTCCATGAAGTTGATAAAAGTGCTATCGGAGAACTGTTTGAATCACATGCCAAACCACTGACAAAAGGAGAACCTGGCAGATTAAGGTCAGTTAATCATTGTGGAGGGGATCCCTGGTTGTTCACCAAGTAACCATTTTTTCCTTCCTACTCAGTAACAGAACCCTGATTTTTCAGTGACTGTATTTCTATTGTAACAGTAAATAAGTGATGTTAATATACTCCAAAGCTAGGAAATGTGAGTCAATTTTTAAATCCAAAGAGCTAAATGGACAGTCTCAGATAATCCTCTCCTCCTCAAGTAAATATTTGCTACTGCAACCCAGTTGCACCCTATCTATTTAGGGATTGAGGCAATGCTTTACCATGCTATGATCCACGAATGAAAACATATTTGAGGGAGTGGGAGGGAACCTAATGAGTCTTCAACAAGTTTAAGCACTGGTAAACTATGTTCAACTACCATTACAGGCAGGCAATAGCTAAATGCACCAGCAATTTGAAGTCTGTGGTATTGTAGATACAATAAGGTTTACATGAAAGGAACATGAATTTGAAAATAGATACATGGAAGTAAGTCGCACGAATTAACGAATTCAGACATCCACAGTACTTCAGCACAAAGGCCAGGAAAGATTTGAAAGCATTCCCGTAGACTGCACTAGTGCACTGTAGCAGGAGCTGGTGAACAAAGACAAGATCCCTGCAGTCAGCGTTTGCTTATAGAAACCAGAAGTTAATATCTTCATAAAAATCTTAAATTCCTCTACTGTTGCCCATATTCCCAGAACCACTAGACAAAGCAAACTAGGTTTTGCAGTTACACACAACTCACATCTTGCTTTGTCCTCTTGAAATAGGATCCCAGTCAACAAAACCCAAACATTCCCACAAATCTCCTTAGATGTGTATTATCTATAAATAAAGCCTACAGAAAGGAAAAAGTGACTTTCTATGCTTATCGGTATAGATGTTATGGAATTAAAAATAATAATAATAATAAAGCCTCTTTGGTTCACCTTCGCCAGCGTTAAAATCCGTTCTTTTCATAACCCACCTTTCGCCGATGTGCTGCAGACTTTCATGAATGCACCACACACCAAAGACAGAACAAAGAGCTCCTCTTAATAACAGGGGCGCACAGTGCCCTTAGAAGATGGCATGGTATTTATCGATGGCTGCTTCTGCTCTAAATTAACACGTACAGGAGGACTCGTTTTCAACTAGCTCCACCGGGGAAACACTGGAGGGGGCGGGGATCCTTATTTAAGAGCAGCTGATTTCAGGCCAGCAACTCTCCTCCCTTTGGGGGCTTCGGTTTGGGCTATGCCAATGGGTTTCTTCACACAAGATCTCACGACACTTTAAAACGGCTCGCCGGTGGAAGAATCCTCGCCTCACAAAGAGATAACTAGGGCAGAGCTGTTACACAACCGATACCCGACGGCGAAAGCCAGCCCGAGGAGTCCCCCAGGAGTCTGACTTGGGAGCTACATCCTCCGCAGGCGAGAAGCACTTTTGCTCGAGAATTGTTTTACGCGCCCCTCTACCAACTGCGGACTCGCCTGCGAAAATGGAAGAAGGGGCGAGGACCGAGGAAGAGGGGCGCGATCCACAGGGCGCGGGGTTCGACGCCGGGAGCCAGGGACCCGAGCCCCGGACCACCTCCCACCGTCGTCCGTCACTCCCACAGAGGCGGTACCTGTTTCCGCATGTTATTCATGACGCCCATGAAACCCGCCAACAATTTAGCTTCTTCCCGAGCAGCAAGTTTCTTCTCTGTCTTCTTCTTGCTGTTCTTCTCCACCCCGGAGGCTGCCATCCTCCCTCAGCTCGGTTCACGCCCGGGACTCGCCGGGCCGGGCGAGGGGTCGCACTCTCTGGGCACACTGGGGATTCTATCGACCAAACACAGCGATCGGAACTGCGGCTGCAGCACCCACCTCTGGAACGCGCGACAGGCGGCGGTGGCTCGGCCACTGCCGAAAGACAAGGCCGGGCGGCCCCCTCAGGAGCGCTCAGGGAGCGACGCTGCCAGCTGGGCTGCGTCCCCGGGCAGAACCCGAGTCCGGCCGAGGAGCCTGCGCACTTCGCGCAAGGAGGCGGGGGCCCTTTGAGGGGAGTCAGGGGCGGGGCCTCGAACGTCACAGTGGCGCGCCGCTCCGAGCAATGTGACTGCAGGCATAGGTGCGGCCGGGTGCTTTGTCGCTGTCCCGCGCTGAGTGAATTTTGCCTCGGAGCTGGTCCGAGGTCGCGCCTGCCCTTCTGTGTGCCCAAGGCAGATTTCCAGGTTTCGGTTACGTGATTATCTTTTTGTTTTTTGATAATAGGGCGGTGGAACATGCAAAGGTGTCTCCCATCAGTGTAAGGCTTCATAGGAACAGGGTCGGTGTTCAGTGCAGTATCTGAGCCTGGTGTATGGTAGGCGCTCAGTAGATATTAAATGATGAAAGGATGTTACTGCACGTTAAAGTCTTGTTACACCGAGTACAAGATTTATTTTCATGGGATTCATAAAGCAACAGCACACAGTCACGTGCTGTCTCCTTGGCGTGCAGTGAGTGTCTGCCTAACTAGGCTGGCTTACTATGTGTTCACAACTGAAATCAGTTGTCAGTCAGTTCTAGAAATCTTCAGTTAGGCTTCTCTAAGTGTTTTTACGGTAACACGGAACTCAATCACAGCCCTCATGGAAATGCTTTTTGTAACCATATTCTTTCTAGTGTATAGTAATATACAGGATTATTTGAAATTGTACATTAATGTTATGAAAACTTTATATTTCATTGGTTTTCCTCCTCAGTCTATATAGGACTGTATAGAGACCTATTTTATGTAAAATAATTTACACTATTGAGGCTTTTTTTTTTTTTTTTGAGGCAGGGTCTCTGCCCTGTCACCCAGGCTGGGGGTGCAATGCAGTGGCTTGAAGCCTCAGAACTCCTGGGCTCAAGCAATCCTCCCATCTCAGCCTCCCAAGTAGCTGGGATTACAGGCGTGCAACACAACTCTGGGCTAATTTTTAATTTTAAAATTTTGTTGTTGGTGGTGGTGTTGGTGGTGGTGGAGAAGAGGTCACACTATGTTGCCCAGGCTTGTCTTGAGCTCCTGGCGTTACGCAATCCTCCCACCTAGGCCTCCCAAAGTGCTGGGATTACAGGAATGAGCCGCCAGTCTTGGCCCACAGTATACTTTTCTTGTTGGGGACAAACAACATAACATAATCCAGATGAAAGAGCAAACTGTATATATGCCTCAATTTTTACAAAAGAGTAAGATATTTATGTCTCTGTACACTTTATCTTTCTTCTTTTAATCTAGAGGTTCTCAGATGTGCCTCTATTTTAACTAGTTGATTTGGGGATTTAAGGTGAACTCTGGCAGTAGGAATAATTTATTGTTAATAAAATTAGAAATGAGAAAATTTTTCATTCAGTTTATTAAATGACCCAGGACACTGAAGAAAAACAGAATAACTTTTTTTTTCTTTTTTTTAATCGAAAAGAAGTAGAAATCTGTCTTCTAACTCGAAGGCCTTGAGAGATGAAGGATCCGTGATTCAAAGGCAGAAATGTAGGTGATGAAAAAGAATGCTGTTCTGCAATAAAGCAAAAAAGAAACAAGGAACAGCATCCTTAGTGCTTGGTGTTAGAACAGTCTTTTTACATATTGCTGAATATAAAACATCAAAGTTCATGGAAGAGCCATAGGATTCAGAACTCAAAGAGACCACAGAGATTATACAGTACAGGGGTTAAGCATGAGACTGCCTGGATGCAAAATCAAGCATCTCAACTTTCTAGTTGTGCAACTTTGGACAAATTGCTTAACTTCTGTTATGCCTCAGTCTCCTTATCTGTGAAAATAGAACCTACCACATGGAACTGCCATAAAGATTATAAAAATGCTTAGAGGGGTGCCAGCACAAGACCCTTAAAATTACTTTACTGAGTTAATAATACACATATACCTCAGAGATATTTCAGGTTCTGTTCCAGACCACCACATAAAGTAAATATCGCAGTAAAGTGAGTCACACAAATTTTTTGGTTTCCCAAAACATATGCAAGTTATGTTTACACTATACTGTAGTCTGTTAAGTGTGCAATAATACTGTATCTGCAAAAGCAATGCACATATCTCAATTAAAAAGTACTTTGTTGCTAAAAATTGCTAATGATCATCTAAGCCTTTGCAAGTTGCAAGTTTTAAATTTATTTTTATTTTTACTTTTATAACAGATGGAGTCTTGCTGTGTTCTCCAGGATTGAGTACAGTGGCTATTCACAGATGTGATCATAGTATCCTACAGCCTCAAACTCCTGAGGTCAAGCAGTCCTCCTGCTTCAGCCTCCTAAGGAGCTGGGACTACAGGCCCATACCACCATGCCCACTAGATTCACAGTCAGTTTGCTTGTGGAAGGTCTTGCCTCAATGTTGATAGCTGCTGACTGATTAGGGTCAGGTTGCTGACTGATCAGAATGGTAGTTTCTGAATGTTGGGAGTGTTTATGGCAATTTCTTAAAATAAGACAACAATGAAGTTTGCTGCATTGATTGACTCCCTTTCACAAAGGATTTCTCCATATCATGCAATGCTGTTTGATAGCATTTTACCCATAGTAGAACTTCTTTCAAAATTGGAGTCAGTTCTCTCAAACCCTGTCTCTGCTTGATCAACTAAGTTTATGCACTGTTCTACATCCTTTGTTGTCATTTCAACAATATTTACAGAGTCTTCACCATCAGTAGATTCCTTTTCAAACAACCACTTTCTTTGCTCAGTCATAAGAAGCAACTCTTCACTCATTCAAGTTTTATCATGAGATTGCAGCAATTCAGTCACATCAAATTCCTCTTCTAATTCTAGTTGTTTTTCTATTTCCACCACATCTGCAGGTACTTTCTCCACAGAAATCTCAAACCTCTCAAAGTCATCCATGAGGGTTGGAATCAACTTCTTCCAAATTTCTGTGAATGTTGATATTTCTACCTCCTCCCAATCACAAATGTTCTTAATGGCATCTAGAATGGTGAATCTTTTCCAGAAGGTTTTCAATGTGCTTTGCCCACATCAGAAGAATCACTGTCTGTGGTAGCTCTAGCCTTATTAAATGCATATTTTAAATAATAATACCTAAAAATCAAAATAACTCCTTGATCCATGGGCTGTAGAATAGACGTTGTGTTAGCAGTCATGAAAACAACATTAATCTCCTTGTACAGCACCATTATAGCTCTTGGGTGACCATGTGCATTGTCAATGACCAGTAATATTTTGAAAGGAGACTTTTTTTTTTTTGAGCAGTAGGTCTCAACAGTGGACTTAAAATATTCAGTAAACCGTGTTGTAAACAGATGTGCTGCCAGCTAGGCATTCTTGTTTAACTTATAGAGCACAGGCAGAGCAGATTTAGCATAATTTGTCAGGACCCTAGGATTTTTGGAATGGTAAATGGGCACTGGCTTCAACTTCAAGTCACTAACTGAATTAACTGCTAACAAGAAGGGTCAGCCTGTCCTTGAAAGTTTGAAAACAGGCATGGACTTCTCCTCTCTAGCTATGAAAGTCTTAGATGGCATCTTCTTCCAGTAGAAGTTGTTTCATCTACGTTGAAAATCTGTTGTTTGATGTAGCCACCCTCATCAAGATCTTAGCTGGATCTTCTGGATAACTTGCTACAGTTTCCACATCAGCACTTGTTGCCTTATCTTACACTTTTATGTTTTGGAGATAGTTTCTTTCCTTAAACCACATGAACTAATCTCTGCTATCTTCTAGCTTTTCTTGGGCAGCTTCCTTACTTCTTTCAGCTTTCATAGAACTGAATAGTGTTAGGATCTTGCTCTGGATTCGGTTTTGGCTTAAGGGAATGTGGTAGCTGATTTGATTTATTTAGACCACTAAAACTCTTCATATCAGCATTAAGGCTGGTTTGCTTTATTATCATTTGTGTGTTCACTGGAGTAGCACTTTAAATTTCCTCCAAGTGTGTTTGCTTTTCATTCATAACGTGGCTGTTTGGTGCCAAGCAGCCTAGCTTCCCAGTCTTGGCTTTCAACATGCCTTCCTCACTAAGCATAGTCATTTCTAGCTGTTTATTTAAAGTTAGAGATGTGCGTCTCTTCCTTTCACTTGAACACTTAGAGGCCATTGTAAGGTTATTAGTTGGCTTAATTTCAATATTGTGTCTGGAGGAATAGAGAGGCCTGGGGAGACAAAGACAAATGGGGAACAGCTGGTCATTGGAGCAGTGAGAACACATGCAACATTTATTGATTAAATTTGCTGTTTTATGGGCTCAGTTCATGGTGCTCCAAAACAATTATAATAGTAACATCAAACATCACTGGTCACAGGTCACCATAACAGATATAATGATAATGATAATAATGTTTGAAATATTGCAAGAATTACCAAAATGTGACTCAGAGACACAACAAAGTGAGCATATGCTGTTGGAAAAATGGTACCAATAGACTTGCTCCATGCAGGGTTGCCACAAACCATTAATTTGCAAAAAAAACAAACAAAAAAAAGAACATGTAGTATCTGTGAAGCACAATAAAGCAAACTGCAAATAAAATGAGGTGTACCTGTCCTGTATTAACTTTGTTACTATTTTGT